AATTAAAATACTTGAATTCAATAAAATATATTTTTACACATATTATAGTATTTCGAAATACATTTAACAAAAGTTATTTAAGATATATCTTGAATTTTCTTTCATATAGGGCATATGTCGACGTTGAGGTCGAACCCTCAACACTGACACTATACTCTATGATCGAAATGGGATTGGCCATGTTCAGGGTGACACTATTCAAAGCAAATCTTTGGGAATATCAAACATCGTTTAAAAAGGAAAACGTTTGGGAACATGGTAGTGATATACCGACTAAAACACCAGTTTTTGGAAAGGTATTACATGTTATATATATAAATATAAATATATATATATATATATATATATTATATATATTAATAATTATATATAAATAATAATAATAAATACTAATAATAATATATAATAATAAAGGCGAGGTACAACAGATTTGATTAGACATTTTATTATTACTTAAGTTTCTACTACACACATGATGTGATACTCTTCCAATAAAATTGTCTAACGACATAATTATAAAGCATATAAATACAATGATTTATCTGAGCATGTGCAGAACAAGAATGATAACTGAAAAGCTAATGCAAGATTATGAAAATGAAGAGAATGGAAGTGGGATACTGTCACAATACAAAAACATCCCGTCATAATTTTACAATTTAAAAGTCGAAAATATATTGTTTGTCGGCAATTTTTCTGTTAATCTTGTTGATTTTCGTTCAATAGTTCTCCTTGTATCTGTTGTTGGACAAGTTCTCATTGTATTCTATTCTTAATATGAATGCACCGTAATGGTTAGTCACTTAGAGCATGATTATTGTTTAACTATTACATCTAATTTAAATACAGATGAATAACAAACAAATATTGAATAAAAAAAACCATACTCCATCAGTTCAGATCTATAGAGAACACAGCATTTCAAAGAATTTCATGGAATGGAATCCTGCCTATTTTCTAGTACGATCCATAAAATTAATGTAACTAATTTTGAAAATAAAAATGTTATAAATTTTAAATATTTAAATATTAGACAGCAATAATTGTATTTTAAACTACTTTGTTTTAATAAGGTTTTCACCCTCAAGACTAGAACAAGTGAATCCAATGGTTGTATTGTCAAACAAGTCGCCGGTCTTGACTACACCGAGCCAGCGTTTGAATTGATGTTTGTTGCTTATGACAGTAGCAGTGAATTAGTATATACTTTGGATGTGGGAACTGTGCCTGGTGGAAGTGATATTTTCTCAAATATGGAGCTTGGCGGAGCTGTAATCACTGCCAGTGTTGTAAGATCATAAGTCTATTTTTTATGTGCGTAGGTTATGTTAAGGGCTAGCCTATTATTAGTAAATATATTCAAAAACTTAAATAATGTTGATTCATTTCATTTATTCGTCTCGTAAAACAATTAACAATATACAAAAACAACCCCGACAGGATTCCCAACAGCGTACTGAATCAAATTGTAAAAAGGGTCTCCACATAAAAATAAATTAAATACCATACGTAAAAACTCCTGGATCAGATTTTCAAAACTTGTAAGCAACCCTCTGAGTTTGGAGGTTTAGCGTATGAACGCAAAAACTCAGAAATCGGAGTTTGGATCTTGTAATCAACCCTCCAATTTCAGAGGTTTTGCGCATAGGGCCTACGCGAAAACCCCAGAATCGAAGTTTAATACGCAAACTTTCCGAAATAGGATAATAGTACGCACAACCTCCAAAGAGTTTTCGCGTATAATACGCAAAACGTCCGAAAATCGGAGGGTTTATTAAAAGTGGAGTTTTCGCGTATAGGCCTAATACGCAAAATCTCCGAATTTGGAGGTTTGAGTAGAGCAAAACCCCCAAAATTGGAAGGTTGAAACCTCTGAAATCGAAAGGTTGAATAGAAGTTTTGTTCTGTCTGTAATAGAGAGAGCTTGTTTAATTAATAATACTCCAAAACCCTGTAATTGGAGGGCTGATTAAAAGTTTGAAAACTCCGATTTCGGAGTTTTCGCGTATAGTACACAAAAACCGTAGAAATCTCAGTTTTGGCGGCGGGCGTAAGACACTCAAAAATGGAGTGACTACATACATGGAGTGGAATATCAGAAAATGGCTTTGTGTGGCTCTTTTTCTAGAATGCTTAGTATTTGTCAAAGTCATTTTATTATAATTGATAATAATTATACCATATGCCTTATCAAGCTGTCGGTTAGTATCATGTATTCTGTAAGAAATTTGTATATAATTTTAGTAATACAGAACAGAAATATGTGGGGCCTACTTGACTTGATATAGGCTTCATCTGTAACATAGTACGTATTCTAGAGCGGCGTTTATTGCATAAAATACAGTATACTGACCCCAGTATTAACGTTATTATAACAGTAGGTTTTGAAGTATTGTACAACAATGTATACATAGACGCATTAGACAATGAAAACATTGAAAATTATTGCAGTAAAAAATTATGATGATGATTATTTGCAGCAGACTACACATAATTTTTCAACAATTTTTCAATTAATTAGATAATTTCTGTTTCTCTTTTATCATCAACTATAGGAAATGCAAGGTGGAACACCATTATTCTTTACTATTAAAGTCACAAATAATGAAGGTTTAGTATCAAGAACAACGTGCAGTATCCATACTTATGACGTCACACTTCCAGCGGGTCGCTTGACACCCGGGTTTTTGTCTACAAGTCGTCCAGACATCCTAAGATGTTCTACATTAGTGTTTGATGATTCTGAAACTTCGAGTTTGAAAGAAGCTGTAGGGTTTGGCCCTGGCGAATGGGGTGAGCAACTTGTTGGATGGGACAGCCCGGGTGCCTACTGGGGCCAAGCAGATGCTTGTAAGGACAATTTTGCTTTTATTACTACGTATATTAAATATGTAAATGTTACGCTTCTACTGTAACTCAATATATTTTACATTGCATTATGAGCATAAACTCAAACTGTGAAAAAACATATTTACCGAAAGCATAAATTTATTATCATTAACATTGTGATAATAATAATAATAATAATAATGATAGTGATAATGATATTTATAATAATAATAATAATAATAATAATAATAATTATTATTATTATTATTATTATTATTATTATTATTATTATTGTTATTGTTGTATCATTACCATTATCATCATCTAATTGATTTAAACCGATTTGTTTTCTACCAGCTAACCAGTTTCCCAATTTAGAATATTTCTCCATTCCTCAAGTTGGACGGTTGGTGTCAGATCCTGTCAAATCTATTACAAAGCAATACCCAGATGAATGTGCTGCTGAGTGTCTCAAACTACCAGCAACAAAATGTCGGAGTTTTAACTATGACATGAGAAGTGGAAAGTGCGAGCTATTAGAAGAACTGGAAGGAGATGGAGTAGAACTACATGAGGTAATATAGAACTAATGATATAGACACATGATGTAATCATATTCGCTGGTTGTAAACGTTCAGAAAGCAAAACAGCACATTAGTATTTGTTGGACCTACAACACTGTTTTAATTATTATATGTTATGGACAATTGAATAATTTAAATTAATTAACAAATGAAATAAATGTGTTTATAAATAATTCAGACTATTTTTTTTTTTTTTAATCTGAGTGTGCTGTATTTTGATGAATCCATGAATTTTGAAAAGTAGAGTTGTCCACTTGATACTCAGCTGGACTAATTTGACTTTTGTTATAATACAGTATGGTTACTTCTACCACTACGAACGTTTGGGACTTGGCCTAGCAACAGACTACACCCACGATGAGCTGACTATGAAGCATAACAATCTGCACTATTTTAATCTAGAGGCCATCAACTCATTGGGCTACAAAAACATTTTATCTTCTCATCCAATTCTCACTGATTTTACAACACCGGAGCCAGGTCTCATTGTCAATGGACAACTTGATGTTACGTCACACGAAACGTGTACATTATTTACACCCGAAGAATGGGAAAGTAGGTGTGTGGAGGAAACATTTCTACCAAATCATCGGTAAGAGTACAGAAAAATTCCAATATAGCATTGGTAATAACTTTTCAATCATCTCATCATCATCTTTTATGTTGTTATCAGACGAGTCCACCAACGTCGTCTTCAGATATCTCAAATCATCTTCTTAATATCATACAATAATTGTTAATATTTTTTGTTATTTCATTAACGTTCAACAGCAAGTACATTCGCCACTTACAGGATGAAATATTACTTTATAAACTGATAATAATAATAATAATAATAATAATAATAATAATAATAATAATAATAATAATAATAATAATAATACAATAATAAGCGTAATATATGTTTTGCTTTCCCAACAAAATCGTCACGTGGAATAAATGTACTCGATGCAATTTATTTTGTGTAAAATGCATTACGTAATTGTTACAGAATTCTATTTTTTTTTCGTGATCAGAATCATAATCGACGGTAAAGGCTCGATGACAGCTTTAAATGGACATATAAATGTACTCCATGCAATTGATTTTGTGTAAAATGCAATACACGTAATAGTTACAGAATTCTATTTTCTTTTTCGTGATCAGAATCATAATTGACGGTAAAGGCTCGATGACAGCTTTCAATGGACATATACCACTCTTTGATGAGAGGTGGACAAGAGCCAATAGATATATTGCATGTAAGTGTGATCGATATACATATTTTGACGTCATACAGCTTGCTCTATCCAGTAAAGAAAATATTTCTTGCGCGTGAACTGCTTAACCCTAATCTTACCGATGTGATCATACAGTTTTGTCATTATAATTTGAATGTTCAAAATTTACTTTTTATATGTATAATTTTCCTTTTTTCATTGGTCATTTTCTTTCAATAATAATAATATTCTTCAATATTAGGTATGAACAATTAAGCAATTCCTTGAATCAATGAACCCTAATAATCTTATATTGTAGACCTATTTTAAATTAGATGCAGAACCGCCGCCGAGGCCTCCTCCTACTACTAGCCTAGGCTAGGTCGTGGATAGCCTAGCGTAGTTATGAAATCATCCCAAGATTTTTTACCTGTCTACACCGACCAAAGTTAGTGACCGTGACTGTATTCTCTCTCGAATGCTTTGAAAAATGTTTATTGCTTTGATGAATGTGAAAAATTACAAACAGGTTCTTCTAACACAATACAAATTAGAAAATAGACTAGGGCTAGTTATTCATTGTATCCGTACAGTATGTGTAGTTAACGCGTAGGCACTGCTACTGCAGGAGCAAAAAATCAGCATACTCACAAAATATAAATACGCACACAGTATAGGCCCCTACTGATCATGTCACTATAGCAACGGATGACTGGTACAACACAGTTGGTTATAAAAACTAACATTAAAAGACGGCGATTGACTTATAAAGCAATTAGTAGAAGCATGCATCGTACACTAGCGGAAAAATTATTATACTTTGGTTAGATTTAATGCATTCAAATTTTTTTCAAGCATTAAATCTAACCTTCGTATAATAATTTTCCTATAGTGTACTATGCGGAGCTCTACTAATTGCTTATTAGTATTATTGTTATTATTATTACTATAATAATAATAATGATAATGATAATGATAATAATAATAATAATGATAATAGTAATAATTATCTGGTGTCTAAATATATGTTATTAGGGTCAGTGAAGCCAATGAGGCAGGTTTCGAATACGTAAAATGGCAGCCATATTGAAGCTCAAGATGGCCGCCTTAAAAATGGTAAAAAAAATATTTTAATGTATAATTCCACATTTCCTCTATGGAAAATGGTAAATTAGGATCTAATCATATGATTTTGGGCTCTCTGAATACAATAAATATAGTTTCAAAAAGCTAGGATGGTAGTCATTTTGAAATTCAAAATGGCCGCCATAAATATCCTCAAAAATCGAATATTTTAGTTTGTAATTCCACTTCTCTGATGAAAAATGCTAAATTTGATGTTTAAATATATGCATGGTTTCATATCTAGAATAACAGCAATTTTCCCCTTTTCATCGGATATAAGTGAAGTTATGAGTCAATATCATAATTTTGGCGGCCATTTTGAAAATGGCCGCCATAAAAATATGTTCCGCCCTTTTTCTGAAGGTTCTCCCTCGCTCAATTTTCTTATTTATACCCTAGTGATGCTAAATCAGCAGTGAAACCTAGGTCCCAACTATCAATACCTAGGAACAAAATGTAATCTAGAGCTAATATATTTCATTTGCCCACAATGAAACTTTAGGGGCATCATGTGGGCTAAATGTCCTAACTGAGGTGTGAATTTTCCACAAATCAAGGTACTGTATATACTTTTGTGATATTTTGGGTCAAAGGTCAAACTCACGTGACTTGACCTATATAATTCTCACTAGTCCGGATAATCTTCTTCTCTATCCAACGGTACCAAAATTTCTCCAATACGTTGAGTTCCAAGAGATATATCAGCAGTTGTCTGTCAGAAAGTGAGTTTTTTAGCCAAATCTCATGACAATTTCATATTGCTCTAACTCATCAGAAAATGCTGGCGCGGAGCCAAAAATTTCACTGTGGGGTTATTTCAGGTAGAGCCCCAACATGCAAAATATTGGGCGATTTGAAAGGGGTCGGGCAAAAAAGTGTGTTGGATTCATATGGAATGACTCAATAGTAATAATAATAATAATAATAATAATAATAATAATAATAATATAGCGCATATTGTAGAGACCTCTATGCGCTTAACAATAGTACGAGTAGTTCTAATCTTCAATTAATGTTCTTATTTCAGCAAATTGGGATGGAATTCATGATGACGAAACTGGAATATTCGGATACACGTGGGCGATAGGCCACTACCCATGCGATGACATCATACACCACCATCATGATCCACATGCTCATTTGTTTGACGAATCAGAATGGACACACATTGGTCTGGTAAATGGCCTAATGCTACCAGGTAAGACAATTACGATGATGATGACAGTTACAACGACGATGGCGACGTCGATGACGACCGAGATATCATCCTAGCTCACAATCTATGCTTGGGTGCTTCCCCAACGTCATGGTGTTGGGTATGGGATTGGATTGGGCTCAAGCGTTTGTTGGTTTTAAATTTGATGTATGTTACCTGGCTGTACATTGGATTGTGACCTAATACGGCATGCAATAAAAAAATTGTCAATTTATGCCAAATACTTAGTAGTATGTGTCATTTGGTGTTGTTGTGGGTGGGGGGGTTACTGACACAAAATCCCCTTTCACCATAAAAATTAAAGCCATTTATGTCATAACCCACCTGCCGCCATCTGGGGGTCAGCTTATTATTACATACTTGCTGCATGGACAAAGAATTATCATACATCAAGAAATTTTACCAACATTGTGGGCCCAGCCTGATTTTGTAGTCTGAGAGTAAGTTCATAAGCATTGTGAATTAGTGTATGTTGGAATTACGCAGATAGTAGTTGGATATTTTTTCTCTTAAAAGCGTCATCCCGGCCGTTTTAATACTTGTTTGATTCGCCCCAATCATTTGTTGGTTTTAAATTTGATGTATGTAAGACAAATTAAATACCTTGTTGTTTGGATTGTGACGTAAATACGTCAATAAGAAATTTGTCAATTTCTGCAAAATACTAGTGTGTATTATTTGGTGTTGCGTTGCTTAGGCCACTAGAGTGAAAAGGAATCGGTGAGAAAATGTAATAGGGGCCTGCATTGATTATTCTTCACTCGTTTAAATTAGACAGCTTTATTCCTAAAATATTTCATTGGCCCTATCGTCCTTCCCTCCGATCCGGCTTAGGATCCCAGATGTCCTCCAGCTCCAGAGCGTATTGGGACCAATACCTCTCTCTCGCCACGGCGGCGGCTCTACCAGTGTGCTTAAATAGTATATAGGCCTACTGTACAATATTCCTTCATTAGTTAACAATAAAATAGGTAAACTATGGTTTATTACTGCAATTTATTAGTACAATATAGTGAAACAAGAATCCCCATAACGATTAACAATTATTTATATATTGTGTATCAGACGACAATTACTACGTCACAGTAAGAGGGTTGAATAAGGTTGAGTTTGGTGGACCTCTATCGTTATCTGTGTGTCATTCCGTTCCTCTGGTGATTGACAACACCCTGCCGTTTGTTAATGACATATTCGACATTGGTTATAACGAGGACACTGAAGAGGTTTCTGTATCTTATAACGTCAGGTATTGTCACATTTGGCTTTGTTAAGTAGGTTATTGAAAGTTAATTACTTGTAATGCCTTTTGGGGGTGACTTGGGCAGCATAGAGGAAGACAATCACCTGACTTTTTAGAATAATGTACCACGGGGTTTTTTTTCTCTCTTTTCTGGCAAAGCCACATTTATCCAATAATAAAATACATGATACAAATGATTTTCAAAATAACAAATCAAATCAGCATATTCATATTCAAAATATAAAAAGCAATATATATTAAACCTCTTTTAAGTTTCTTTTAGTTTATCATTTCATAACAGCACAATTTTTACAATAATTTTCACTCCTTTAATTTCCTTACATACAACTTATTTTATTAACCTTTTACATTTGTTTTTTTTTTCTTTATGTTGTTTTGCTTTTTTTCCTCTTTTTTTTTTTTGTAAATTCATTTTTTTTTGTGGGTAACCCACCTTTATTCATACAATTATATCATTTTCCCCCCTTTTTTCCTCTTTTAAATATATAACAAATTAAGATAAAACAAAAACTACGGTTTTTTTTTTTGTGTATTTGGACCAATGACATAATGATTGTGTATTACCAGGAAACAAACTGTTCCCTGGTATTATCAGCGTTAAGACTTGCATTTCAACCGCCTGGTTGAGAAGCAGAACAGCGATGTAACCTAACAATCTGAGAAGTTTCCCACGGTTTCAGTAAACGCACAGTGGTTACCTCCGATTTATCAATCTGTCAATGAGGCATCGAATGATGGTATATAAATTAAATATAGAAAAACCTTGACACAATTGAGTAAAATAAATGTAGTTTTCTTAAAATTTGATTATATATAATCATTATATGATTATTTCTAGTGATCCTAATTCCGAGATCTATGCGGTGGATATTGGAATAGGAGAGGGTAAATATGATGTTTACCTAAAGGAATGGGCAAGATTCTTTGATAACAGCACCTCAGTCGTTCCATACAAACTAATAGATGGCGTACCAGCGTGGATGCAGATAAGAGCAATTAATAATGGTAATTATTTTATCTTATATCTTAATGCCTTTAATGAAGATAAGAAGGAAATTGATTGTCTTAATCGAAACTAAAGTTGAGAAAACTTTCGCTAAGCCTTTTTGGTAATTTATGCGTGTAAACGTGTTATTTTGCCTTTGTACTTTTCAGTGGACCTTCGTTTGGTCGATCACGCTGATTCTCCATTAATAGTTGATCTGAGTCCTCCGGTTGCCGGCCGCTTCAGAGATGGATTTAATCTTGGTATTGATAGTGATTATGAAAGTGACGTAACACAGGTTAATCAATTATCACTTGGTTTACTTCAAGAATAATGATTTGATCATTATAGAGTTCGTATATTACAATACTATCTTTTTTTAAATTAAAAAAACACACTTTGACAATATTTAAGCAATTGTATTTTATCACAAAATTTACATAATTAATTGTGTATAGTATTGTGCTAACTGGGAGGATTTTGTCGACGAACAATCCGGTATTGCTGGTTATTCTTTGGGATTAGGAACTTTACCAGGATTAACTGATGTTGCCGAGTTTCTTTCACTTCAAAGTCATGATTATAAATTCTGCATCAAGGGTCTACATCTGCAACATGGAGTCCAATACTACGGAGTGTTGGCAGCTTTCAATGGCGGACATAAGCATCTCAATACAACGGTCGCTTCTGATGGAGGTAAGCCAACGCATAATTACGCTTTATCTAATTCATTCTTAAACGTGACGTTATTACTTGGCAGAGGTGGTGGCAGTTGGGGGATTCGGGGAGAGCTTCGTTTTCCCCCGATTGTGGGGAAGAACCACAATTCGTGGGGGAGAAAAGAAACTGTATGCATTTTTTACAACTTAGTAGACTCTAAATCAATTCTAGGCCTACTTACTCTCGTCGGGGATATCGGCCTCCGTCAGGAACATCACCCCCCCCCCCCCAGCGTCTGGAAAATTCTGGCGCCACCCATGTTGCTTGGTGGTCTTCTTTTATTTCTATTGACTAATCCCACGGATGAAGCTTTCTTATAATTATGTCGTTGGCATTTTTTCGAGACCATGTGCAATTTACAAAATGTTTCGAATCACTTTTTAATTTTGTATTTATTCTTAAAAAATGTAGTGTAATATATATACACATATATATTAACAGATGAACGCAAAAAAGAAAAAAACATGAAAAAAACCAAAAAGAAAAATCTGAAAAATGTCATCTTCTTAAATTTTTACGCTCTTGTATTTATTTTGTTTTGCTTGGCTCTTGCATCATGAGTACACCATGCCGATTCCGGCGCCTTATTAATATCCAATAGTATTATATGTTCTATAAAGTATATTTTGAAAATTGGTTCAACAACAAGATATATTCCTACTATATTAAAAACATATTCTAGTAAAAGACAAATCAATTCCTCAAACTGTCGCTAGAGACATGGTTAAGGAGCATTAAGAATCCAAAATTATAAGCTGGATAAATCATTTTTGTAATATATTGTTTTTCACTCTAACGTCTTTTTATTAAAAAGTGCTAATCGATATAACGCCTCCCAATGAGGGCGACCTTCTAGACGGCATATTGTTTGGTAATAGAGATATCCAGTATTCATCTTCTCCTGCGACAGTATCTGGACAATGGTATAACTTTACTGATCCGGAATCAGGTATCGATAATTTTTTAATCAGTGTCTATTGCAGACACACATTAAGGTAAGAATACAACAGGCATTATTGTTAGCTGTCGGCATTTTCTTAATGCCTGTTAGTAATCAATGTGTTAATTGTATTGGTTTTTAACCATTTTTGTGGTTTCTAAGTAGGTTATTGATATCATTTATGATTTCGTAATGGCCTGCATAAAGTTTTCTGTTATATTTTATTAAACCTTGTAACAATTTACTTTTCAAAGTACAATTATTTTTAATAAATGTTTTGGATGTTAATTAAAGACATCAATAATTAATCTAATGCATTATCAAGTCGTTCATAAGTATTTTATCTGTTGTAAACACAGTGAGAAATTTGCAGAGTTTGAAATCATTCATGAACCGGAATCCGTTGGACCAAATACAACATCTTTCGAATGGCATCATTTCCACCTGAAAGATGGTGATGATGTATTTATTGAATTAGAAGCATTCAACCAAGCTGGGTTGGCAGTATCAAAGCGGTCTGATGGCTTTAGAGTTGACCTCACACCCCCGACCATGACGTTTATTGGTGATGGCAGTATAGAAGGTCAAGATGTAGAGTTTCAGGTAACATTTATCAATTTAATTATAATTTTGAATGAGCATAGACGATCATTATTTTTTTTTAAAAAGGTTTTTTTTTTTATTATGAAATGAGCAAACGTTTGTAAGATATGTTTTTACTCATCATGATCATGATCATCATCACTGTCATCATGATCATGATCATCATCATGATCATGATCATCATCATCATCATCATCTTTTTTTACTGTGCAGAACCTCTTTTGAGTATAGTCGCACATGTTGGTTGGTCACAATTGCTGCAGCCGATCTTCCTGGTTTCCTTAATCTTATGTTCCATATTTACAAATCTTTTGTTAATTATTCAAGTGTAATTTTATTTAATTTTAATTTTTACTTTTTTTATATTAAGTCAAATGATACATTTATATCGGCCAACTGGAAGTTCAATGACCCAGAATCGAATATGAACCACTACAAGTTCTCAATTTTTGAAACCTACGGAGGAACCAAACATCAAATATTCCCAAGTAAGAATAGGAGTATAGAAGACATTAACATTTTTTATTTTATAATATGTTAATTACTTATCTCTTTTGATGTTTGATTTTTTGTAATAGAAAATGACAAACAGATAATATCCGTAAACGACAGGAAATATACTTTTCTCTTTCAAAGGTCCACACACCCATCCAGCGTTTATAGAAGTACCCCAAAGTGAAGACTTCCATACTGAGATTGGTCTGACTTTGAAGGAAGGTGGCTTCTATAATACACGGATTGCGGGAGTAAACAACGCCGGTTTGACAGCACCACACGAAACAAATGGTGTCGTTATTGATCCGTCACCACCCTTGGTAATATAGTATATTTTGTTCTTGCCTTCAACAAAGGTAGGGGAAGGGGATGAGGGATTTTTATTAAATTTACGATTAAAGTTCACGTGGTGCAACAATACATTTTATTTAAACACTAGAACAACAGCCGATTCTACCTAAATGATACTTATCAGATCTATTCGGCAGAATTGGGTGCAAACAACGGCGCTGACTCAAATTATTGAATTTGTATGTTGTTCTATTAGGATTACATTCATCTATAATTCTGTGTTACAGGGGTTTCGAGTATTAGTTGCACTATGTACTGTGCTGCCTTTGCCACCTTTTTTCTGTGGGAAAATGTATAATTTTTTTAAGTGAAATGTTTTAAAAAATGTAATTAATGAGGTGTCGTGTTTGTTCTACTTTCATAAGGTTAACCCTCTGTAAACACTTAAACGACACAGGGACGTATCCAGGGGGGGGGGAGCCGTGGGAGCCGCGGCTCTCCCCCCCCCCACCTTTATACACAGTGTTAAAATTTTAAAGCTTATTCTTGAGCCAATACAAATTCTTTCCTGGGATCACTTAAAATAAATACTTCTAAACATGTAAATATGTATCAGTACACGTTATACATAGGCCTAATAGAACACATAGGCCTAAGCGTGATTTAAAAAAATCTTAAATCCATAAATCTCAGGCCAGGTATTTTAAGATAGAAATGCGATACTGTGGTTCAATTTCGTTTTTATCCTTTTGCAAGTTTCTTTAAATGTTTGTTTAATAATACTACTATTAATAGTAATATTAATAATAGACCTAATAACAGTGATGATGATGACGATAGTAACAATTGATATTAATATTAATAACAATAAAAAGTGAAGAAAATTGTGCTAAATGCGAAAAAAAAGTTGTGATTTGTTGATCATAATATCTATAGTTGAAGCTTAGTAAGCTATAATTAGGCCTAAGTTGTCCTGGACATTAAGTAGATCCCTGATAAAAGATCATGAGAAATTTGTTGGCGTTTCATTTTGACTATAATGGTAATGTGATGATGATGAATTTTACTATATAAAAGTGTCATTTCCGGCCATCTCGAGAGGTACTATTTCCTCAAATTTTCTCACCTCAGCCCCAGCCATGGTGGGGATGAGGTGGTTGTGAATTCAAGTTTTTGAAGTAGCCCTATCTAAACTACATACTCAAAGACAATGTTTTTAAGCTTTGTTTTCTACGGTATGCACACACACATTAATAAGATCTCTATGGTTGTCAAAAATCCCTGATAAAAGATCATGAGAATTTTTTTTGGCGCTTCATTTTGACTAATGGTGATGTGATGATGATGAATTTTACTAAAAATGTCATTTCCGGCTATCTCGAGAGGTACTATTTCCTCAAATTTTCTCACCTCAGCTCCAACCATTGTGGGGCTGGGGTGGGTGTCGACTCACAAAATGTCCTCCCCCTCCACCTTTCAAAACAGGTCTGTGCCTTTCCCTGGGTATGACATTAAACTCCATCGAGTCGGCTCGCCTGATGTATGTCTTAGTGACTGCTGTTTGTTTTTAGGATGTGATCTGGTTTTTCATGTCCATTTTTCGTGATTATGACTATTCTGGTGATATCGGTTTGTTCAATTGCTTGTATTGCTATTGACCGCTACATCGCACTTGTGTGGGCCTGTCTCTTATACACATCTAGATGTGTATAAGAGACAGAATATATTCAAATTAAAGTGCGAGAGTATATTCAATTTGAAGTGCGAGAGTGTAATTTCCGGCCATCTAGAGATGCCCTAATCATAAATTTTCTCGGTCTGTAAAAGTCCCTCCCTGGTTCACCTCTCTTTCGAATTCCTGGATCTGCCACTGTTGATTTATTATATATATATATCTATCTATATCGTCTATTGCAATTTTCACTTTATCCTCTCAAACAGTCCTAAGAACGTTCAGAGTGCGCTACTTCACAGGGGGATTCGCCCCCTTGACCCCGCTGGGGTCATACGTAATTCGCATAACGGCTCCCCCCCCCCCTTTCAAAATCCTGGCTACGTCCCTGAAACGACATAATTGATTGTAGATTTTCAGTGTCAAGGTTGGAGTTATGGACGCTGGGGCAGCTGAAGAACTCCTGTTTGGGTATGTTTGGCAAAGTGACCAACAAGGAATCAAGGCTACATGGAAGGCCGTGGACGCCGAGAGTGGCATTTTATCGTATTGGGTTTCAATTGGAACAAAATCGGGTAAGTGGTTACCTAAGTGAATACGCTTGAATAAATGTTAAAAATACTGATTGTATAAAAAATACTAGTACTGTAAAGCCTCGACTTAAGGCCCTGGACTTTGGATGGGCTTCTTTTCGAGATTGGCTTTTTCGAGACTACTTTTGCAAAGTAAAGAAGGGGAAGGGGCTTCTTTTCAAAATGAATGGTGTAAATTTTGTGATTTTATACAATCAAACAATAAATAAGTTCAATGTATTACATCAATCTGTATTATGGAGTGTATTTAACTGGCATTAAATCACCTAAACTAATGTATAAACCAAGCTTTTTTTTTAAATTATTTTGTTTTTTAGCACAGTTTATGTACTGTACTATCTCGAAAAGAAGATTATGCTATTTTCAAAAGAAGCCCATGGGCTTCTTTTCGAGGCTAATTTTGCAAATTAAAAATGGGGCTTCAATTCGAGATGGGCTTCAAATCGAGATTAAGCCCACTGAGTTTCAATTCGAGGTTTTACGGTGTTTTTTGATATACCAGTGTGCACTAATACTTACATTTGGATCTCTGTACTTCTATTTTGCAGGATCAAGTGACATTCAGGAATTCAAACGTATGGGACCAGATGAATCAGCTTACATTGATGGGCTTAATCTTACTCTCACCGATTCCAATACATGCTCAGATTTTGAATATCTAGATTCTTGTCAACCTGTTTATTACGTCACTGTAATGGCAGAGAATGGAGCAAAATCGTTCAGTGAAAAATTAGTCTCATCTCCTATACGAGTCGTTGAGGCTGATAAAATAGGTAAAACAAATAAAAAAATGATATCTTAAAGAAATAGAAATTATATAAATGCATGACAGTAAATGAGGTTGAACTATTATGATTGATGATGCTTTAATTTATATTATTTTGTTTTGGCCTTTTAGGCCAGATTTTAATGTTGGGGTAAGGTAGCTCTCTTTGTAACTTAATCATCCCTCCTTTTACAGGTGTTCTGTAAAGAGTTTTTACTGTCAGGACAACACTAAGGAAATGTTTGTCTTTTTGTTTGATTTTGTGTTTTTTTTTAAATTATTTAACTTTAGACACAGGTAGACCTAGGTTGATTTTGTTTTATATATAATATACTGTATATATATCTGTCTCTTATACACATCTTGATTTTAAGCTGTCTCTTATACACATCTTATATATATATATTAGACAATTCTATGTTTTAATTTTAAAGGAATGGTATGGGATGGATCTGGAACAGAAATTATTGATGGTGAATTAATTGTTGCGCATGATATTGACACTCAAATGCAACAAACAGAACTGTTTGCAATATTTCATGGTTTCGAGGTAAACGAAATTAATTAATTAAATATACCTAATTGAGACGCACAAGTCAAAGCAAATATATCCTGTCATAACGTAGTGACTGACTGTAGATGATCGAGCGGAGTACATGTGGTGGATGAAAGCAGGATGCATGAAGGTAGCATTACATTGGCTGTCTGTACAAAGATGTTTGTAGTTCAGTCCTGAATGATGATAGTGGTGTCAAGAATGTTGACTTTGTCATCGCGATTTTCTAGTGTGAGATTTATGGTAGTATGTGAGTCATTGTGAAATTGTAAGAGTGTTTCCATACGTTGTGTTCAAATAATAAACAAAATGTCGTCTATATAACCTAAATAAAGCACATGCTGTATACGTGTGATTGGGTTTCAAGGAACCTCTGCTCTAAGTTAGACAAAAATATGTTGGCATACTGGGGCGTTATTGGCGTGCCCATTGTTGTGCCATTAACCTGGAGGTACATATTATTAAATATTACAATATCAGATATTACTTTGAGTCCATCTTGATGAGGTATGCACAGTAGTGTCTATTAGCGCTAACTGTATACAGACAATAGCCACCATAATATGTGATCCATTATCACTATTACAAAAAACGGTACCCGTACCAGTACAGCCATCGTAACAAGTATAGTACCTTGGGGTGAGTCCTAGATATCTTGGAGTTTGCGAAGGAAATCTGTCGTGTCTTTGATATAACTGCAGCGGCAGTTTGGCGCAGCGGTTGAGGTTCGGACTTTCAATCGTAAGGCGGGGTTTCGAGTTTCCGCTGTGCAGATTCGCTTGTGTCCTTTGGCAAGGCACTTTAGCTACATTGCTTCAGTCCACCCAGCTGTATCAATTGGTACCAGCAATCTGCTGGGGACTAACACTAAAAGATTAATTAACATAGATATTCCATGATTTTATAATTTGATATGAATTGACGGTGTTTTAAATATAGGAATGTTATAATTTTACATCATTTTTATATTTAAAGAGTCAACTAGACGGACTTGCGTCATACGAATGGGCAATTGGAACTGAACCACGTTTTGATAATGTGCAGCCATTTTCACAAGGAGGACTTGTTTTATACGACGATCCGAACAAAATGGGAACAGGTAAACTACAATTTCCCTCAAATTAATGTACCATTTCACAATTTGATATAGCAGGTTTGATGTTGAAATGTTTACTTCGAATGTTTTCTTTTAAATATCATTTTACAGGTCTTCCTGGTGCAGGACACGCATATACCACCATTACTCTTGAACATGGTGTTAGGTATTATATCACAATCCGTTCTATCACTGGTGCTGGAAAGGTTCTAGAAGCAGTATCAGATGGAGTAATAGTTGACAAAACTCCAACCGATATACATTCTCTAACATTCGGACTTCCTGGTGAAAATACCACAGAGGTAATTGCCATATAGTCGCATTATCTATAAAATACAAGCATCGACAGGTTCAGTCATTTTGTTAATCTTGAACATAAATTTAGATTTGTTTTAATTATAGTGATTTGAAGTCTACACATAA